AAAAAAAAAAAAGTTTAACACACATATATATATATATATATGTGTGTGTGTGTGTGTGTGTGTGTGTGTGAGTGAGTGTGTCTGTCTGTCTGTCAATGAAATAAGACTGGAGCAATTTCGAATTAAGCTTACTCATGTGTAATAAAGGTTTTTAACACCAGAAGTGATTGGCAGTAAACATTCATGTATATTCTACATGCCCTACCCATTGTTATTCATGATATAAACACAGCTACTAGACCACTACGTCTAGCCAACCTGATGAGCCTTGGTGTTGGGCAAAATGCCTAGTTGGCACTGGATATAGAAGATGGAAAGTTTGACCTAACACATTCTTGTTTACTTTCACTCACAGGTTCTTAGAATTAAAAAAACATATGACATTTAACAAAAACATTCTAACATATTAAAAGCTATTTTACGTGTAACGTTACTTTTAATAAAAGTTAAAAAATCTGTTGTCATCCCATCGACAGCAGTTATCCATATGCTTAAATAAAGATCACCTTATGACACAAATGTAGGAACATTTTTCAAATGAATCAAATTTTATTTTCCTAAAAGAATTTATTCCGCTGTGAATAAAACAGCTTATTTTTGTCAATTATTCAATGCCAATAAAAATAATCATTAAAAATACAAAACTTATATGTTATATTTTTATGCCATTTAAATTCTGACAAATTTTCTTTGCCGGAATTCAAATGACGTAAAGATGAAATCCACACTCAGTCAAAACACTTTAAAAACTAGGCATTCAGCCAGGTTATATATACACCAATAAACAATCGGTTTTCCATCATGCACATCATGGGACAAAAGATATACAAGGTGAAAATGAAAAGATCTTTATGGTGCTTTAATACGAGTCTTAGCCACATTTATAGTGTTGTCGTTAACGCCAACTGTAACGCTGTTGAGAACTTGTTCCTCTTCTTGAATCATAATCCTAAATAAAATATTAAACATGTGCTCAATAATGGATAAAATAAAATATTAAACATGTGCTCAATAATGGATAAAATAAAATATTAAACATGTGCTCAATAATGGATAAAATAAAATATTAAACATGTGCTCAATAATGGATAAAATAAAATATTAAACATATGCTTAATGATGGATAAAATAAAATATTAAACATGTGCTCAATAATGGATAAAATAAAATATTAAACATATGCTAAGTAATGGATAAAAATATGGAATCTGGGAGTAACAAACACATATGGATTAGAGATTGGAGGACTTATTCCACAAGGTTATCTACTTTTTTATAAATACGGAAACAAGATATTTTTGTGTACTGGGCACACAGTGAGAATAACTATGCCAGTTGTTTTGTTAATATACTAGCATCATGCAACAAACACAATATCAACTGATAAAGCCCAATACTACTACAAGCAAATGACTATTTCTGGGTAATTTACTCCTACTTGAAAAAAAACTGATATTTTGGTGTTTCATATTCATAACATTTTTTAATTTTGTCAACTGTATTGTAATAATTTATGATCATATCATTCATCGTTCCAAATAAATTGATAATGATACTGTTTCTTAATCTGTTACATATCAATTAGTAACGGTTTGTAGTACAGTAAGAAATTATTAATATTAAGTTATGCACGTCCTGCCAAACCCTCATTTGTTATTAAGTCTGTGTATATATTGTACCACAACATAAAATTATACTTGTTGTCTGATATGACTTGCAAATAAAGAATGATATGTGATTTAGTACACATTTTATAAATGGTAAACAATTTAATTAAACACATCTTATAAATATAACAATTTAATGAAATACATTTTATAAAGTTTCAAAAAATATAAATGGAACCTTTTAATGTTGTTTTAGCATGAATTCCAATGTCTCGTGTATAAAATTTGTATTATATCTATTTGTCTTGTCTGTGAGTTTTATTGCCTGAGAACCTTTCCCATTGGTCTTCAGCTATAGTGCTGAAATTTTGAGGTGTCACAGGTAACTTTTCAACATCTGTAAATAAGCATTGAACATTTCTACCTTGTGGCAATTGCTCAAAGACAATGAGTTTTTGACCAATTAATGTTCAACAGTATTGACAAAACTTTACACTTGGAATAAAAGTAACTATATGAATCCTACAATTATAGAGATTTTGTAATTTTTAGTACAACGTCAGCGTCATAATGTAGCAACTCAACCTCAGTGCTACAATGTAGCGACTCAACCTCAGTGCCACAATGTAGCAACTCAACCTCAGTGCCACAATGTAGCAACTCAACCTCAGTGCCACAATGTAGCAACTCAACCTCAGTGTCATAGTGTAGCAACTCAACCTCAGTGTCATAATGTAGCAACTCAACCTCAGTGTCATAATGTAGCAACTCAACCTCAGTGTCATAATGTAGCAACTCAACCTCAGTGTCATAATGTAGCAACTCAACATCAGTGCCACAATGTAGCAACTCAATCTCAGTGTCATAATGTAGCAACTCAACATCAGTGTCATAATGTAGTAACTCAACATCAGTGTCATAATGTAGTAACTCAACATCAGTGTCATAATGTAGCAACTCAATCTCAGTGTCATAATGTAGTAACTCAATCTCAGTGTCATAATGTAGTAACTCAACATCAGTGTCATGGTTTAATGGGAAAGAAGTGTCAAGATGAAGCATAAAGTACTGAAGTAAAGATGTTTTACCAATTTATAGTGTCATTACATAACAGCGTAATAATGTCATGACACAACAGTATATCACAATATGGCAAAGTAACAGTATCATGATACAACAGTAAAGCTGTGACACGTCATGATTTATCAGTATTACAGTATGGTGAACTGCTTTAAAAGCCTTTTACAATTAAGGTTTTACATCATGATTTTTGTTAACTCCTGGATGTTGTTGATAACTGCCATCACAAGAGTTAAACTGATATTTCGTATTTCCCTTACACTGCTCCTACTTGCTGCTAGAATTAGTTAATTCTTAATATTAATGATATTATGCTACTACATTATAAAATTATAGCGTGCTATGTACATATTGGCACACAGTAGTATAATGTACCACTGTTTAAGTGTAGTGCTTATTATTTTGCTTGGTAGCAACACATAGATGTGGAAGTTCAATAACAGTAACATGACATAGCAACATAAAAGTTGTATTTTCTTGCAACAGCTGTTACATGATTATCGGCATAACAATTAACATGAGGTAGCAGTCTAACCACACCTAAGAATGTTTAACTGTAATGTAATTAATTCACAGCATACAATTATTATACAATATGTAACAATGGATTTGTATCAGCATAAGGACCACAGGATAGTAGTTTACTGATGTGTAAACCGGAAATACAACAGAAGCACCACATGTGGCACTATAACAAGTTCTAACATGGCATGGCAGTAAAATATGGATGCTACATTGCAGCAGTTTTAATAAAAGTCATGATTTAGAAGTTTATTTGTATGACCTGAGCATGCATTAATGTCAAATTCTGTACATTACCTGGTAACTGCCACTTCCATACTGTCTGGATCTATATCCACTATTTGCACTACCTGAATTATTCCAGTCAGGTGGGTTGGACGACTGTCTATATGGCATTGGACCCCAGGTACCTCCATCTCTTGCTGTCCACTGATTTCCTTCTTGTCTATCACAAACAAGGTGAATGTACAATGAAAAAGGTTTAATAAAAAAAAGATTGTTTAAAGAAGAAAAAAAAAGCTTTTAATATGATATGAAGTGAACAATGCATTGAGAATATTCAACAAGAATTAACACTGAATACTTGGAAAACCCAAAATCAACTGGTACCCTTCTTAATGGATTTACCTCTCAAGAACTGCTTATCTGTATGGTTTGGTTTGTTTTGAATTTCGCAAAAAGCTACACAAGGGCTACCTGTGCTACCCATCCCTAATTTAGCAGTTAAAGACTAGACCACCCACTGCCAACTTTTGGGCTACTCTTTTACCAATGAATAGTGGGATTGACTGTCACATTATGATGCCCCCATGACTGAACGGGCAAGCATGTTTGGTGGGACAAGAATTTGAACCCACAACCTTCAGACTGTGAGTCAAGCACTCTAACCACATGGCCATGCCAGGGCCCCTTGTCTGTATGTATAATAATATAAACTTGCTTTTACCTTTTTAGAATAGAGGACATAATTTTAAGTATTGAGTTTTAGCTACTGTCAAGTTAACTCACCTCTGACTACTGTTATAAGCCCAACTATCACCAGACATTCTTCCTTGTTGCAGTGAATTTAGACCTGTAGACAGAACCATGGTAAGGTATACAACATAAATTAATCCACTTTTCTCATTATGTTAAAACTATATATAATGGTGTTTATTGAAATTGTAATAAAAGAAGAAGTTGTTATTACTAATTAATATTCAAAATATTCTCCAGATTTCCTGTTAATTTAATAAATATCTTCTTTTATTAGACTTTTTAAAGTATAAGAATTTTCTTTAAATATTTTCAAATACAACATTATCAAACTACTTTATATGATCGATACAAATAGCAAACAAGGGAAGATCTGTTTTTAATTGGTTAGAAAAACTCATCCTGTACTTCAAAATAAAAAAGAAACATTTTATAGAATACATAATGCACTTGGATATAGTAAATACACAAGGATAATCATTTCATCCAGAAGAACTATTTTTTTTTCACCATCTCAGTTTTTACAGCTAGAAATCAATGCTCCAAATTCTATTATTTGTACATATCAGTATCATGCATGGGTGACATTATCTATTGACAAAAGATGTGCTTATTAGCAATGCATGGCTCTGAAACAGAACCAAAATGAAAACAATTATGCAGAATAGTGTTAAATGATGGTTGAAGCTTGAAGTCTTGGATAAGACCAAAGATAAAAAACTTTGAAACAAAAATTAACCACTGACAACAAGTTTGATTACTCTTTGTAATAAAAAACATAATTGTGTTATACATTATTCTATGCTAGAATAAAAGTAAATAATTTGTGTTATACATTATTCTATGCTAGAATAAAAGTAAATGTGTTATACATTATTCTATGCAAGAATAAAAGTAAATAATTTGTGTTATACATTATTCTATGCAAGAATAAAAGTAAATAATTTGTGTTATACATCATTCTATGCTAGAATAAAAGTAAATAATTTGTGTTATACATTATTCTATGCAAGAATAAAAGTAAATAATTTGTGTTATACATCATTCTATGCTAGAATAAAAGTAAATAATTTGTGTTATACATTATTCTATGCAAGAATAAAAGTAAATAATGTGTTATACATTATTCTATGCTAGAATAAAAGTAAATAATGTGTTATACATTATTCTATGCTAGAATAAAAGTAAAGAATTTGGTATGTAAGTAAAAAGGTACTATATAAATCTTTCTTGTGTACAGATAAAAAAATAATAATTAAATGCATCACTTTTGTCTATATTTCTTTTAAGATTTAGTTTTTTAAATCTTGTATTTCAGAAGGTATTTCACTGTAGAGCCCTGATGTATTCCAAGACACCTGTAACTGAAGAATATTTTGTGTGATTAGCAAAATACTTACTGGAAAATACTCTGTAATCTTGAGGGTTTAAAGACATGAAGCATCAACAATACGTGCAACATTAAAATGATGATCTGATGCATAATCATCTATCAACTCCACAAATTTAAGGATTAAAAAACAACAACTATAAAATACAGAGTATTCCAAATCCAGATTAAAAATTTTACAACAGCAAAGTTTTTGAAATATAGTAAAAGCAAAAGTTTCTTCTTTTTCTCCTACAAGTTAAGTGGCCTACTGTACTTCTGGATTTATTTACTTAGTTGGAATGTAAACAAACTAACTAATCATTATGAACAAGTTGGAGATCAGGAACATAAGATGCTATCTACATTTGCCAGAAATTATAATAAATCACTAAATAAGTTTGAAACAATATACACCTGGTTCGTACTAGCTTCAAGAGATTGATAAAATTCTGAACCACTGTAATGGAAAATGAATTGCTGACCATCTCTATCAGTTCAACTACACCCACCCATTAATTAACACTTTCTTATAGTACAATGTCTTTACTGTATACACATAGACAACATCTACTGCGGATTAACACCCACAATCTATTTACTCTGCAAAAAGTTATTTTGTTTTGACACTTTTTAACTGTAGCAAAATAAAGAATGATTTAAAACTAAATTTATTGTTCACATAAATAGAAAACGGACTTTTATACATAACTTAGGAAGGTCCAAAAATCAACCATGGCAAAGCTACTAAGACCATTTGCAGCCAGCTTAACAGCACCCACCATCAACTTTTGAGCTTCTCTGTTACCAACAAATAGTTGAATTGAATGTTACATTATAACACCAGCTTTCAATCACACAATCCATTGAATGCAGGTCAAGTACCTTACAGACCAGGCAATGCCATGCTACGTGATGATGTAGGATAATTGGGAACATGTTACATTTTTTAGTTTATCCCATAGATTTTAAGGTTTTCTTGGTTGTTAAAATATTTAATAATAATAAGACAGATTGGAGTTACTATTGTACATGACCACAATCAGCAGTGAGTCCTACTCAGGATAAATTCTCACCTAGCACATTTGTCAAACATGAGTATTATTTACATGTAAATAATAGTGTATCATTCTCATTCGTAGTTGCCTATTTATTCAATATAAAAACATATCAATCCCAAAAAACACAATTTAACAACTGTATTAAAGTTAAATGGATTCCGGTTGATTTGTTAAACAATTAGGATACACCATATTTTGTTTTTGTTCGGCCTTAGTCTAAATATTACAAGTTCTGTCACATCTTCTGGTTTGTTATTGTTTCCAACCATATTTACTATTCATAGTGTAGTTGTATGATGAAAAGTGCAAAAATCTATATCTTTTTAATATGAAACAAAGTCACCACCTTCTACGTTTTTACTTTCAAAGTCTCAGTAAAAGCTAACTTTTGGTATGGTTGTTAGTAGAAATTTACTTAATTTCTATTTATCTCAAATATGCCATTTAGAACAAACAATATTAACGTGTACACAATACAGAATGTCCTAAAACTTTTATAATTTAACTAGCTTTCTAACTAAACTATATGGAGGTTAAATAATTGTGTTAGCTGGTCGAGGTGATATCAGCAATAGCAAATACAGAAACAGTAAGCCAAATAATTCAAAAACTGTCATCAGAACAAGCTAGCCTTACAGGGAATTCCGAATATTAAAATATTCTCTTTCTATTGGTTACAAATAATCCAATGTCACATAGAATTAGTGAAATTTGTTTTTTTAAAGACAGGATGTGACAGAGTGTGTAGTACATGAATCTGACTTTCTGATTTATAGCTGTAAGACAAGATGACTGGAGGCTGTAAGTTCACATTATGTCTTATGAATTACAAACTTCAGTGTTTAATTTACTTTAAAGTCAGAAGATCATACAGGAGTAGAAAGAAAATCTAAAATGGACAATTTGTAGCAAAAAAAAAGTGTCACATAATTAAAACTTATATAATATTAAAAGTTGAATTATAAACTGCATTTTTGATGCCAAGTTTATTGACATACATTGTTAATAAAGTTTTTTAATGCAATTCTATAAAAAGGTTGTGACATGCCCAATTTGACCCCAGAATTACATGTGTAAGGTTAACACTTTCACTAACAATCTATCTTCTGGAGATAATTTTAGCTTCATTTAAATTCAAACACTAACAAATGAAAGATATATATATGCCAAAAACCTATAGATATATTAGATGTTTCCTAGTAAATAATTTTTCTTCAATTAATATTGGAGGTATTTTGTAAATTCATTACAACAGAAAGAGAAAAACATATTTAGACATTTTCATGAAGAAACACAAAAAATATCTCTAGATAAAAATGTTTTGTTTAATCAAAATTTTTCCAATAAATTGCACTCAATCAAAGTAATAGCATTTGAGGAACATAACCATATTTGGGCATTATATTTTAACATTCACCACAATGAATAACGTGTAAAAATTGAGAAGATCAGAACTTAAATGTTAAAGACAGAAAGTTCATTCACTAAAACTGGATTCACTATTTTTCAAACTAGATTATTACATTACAATACAAACACGGTATCCCAATGATCTTTCTGTGTATATCGCATATAATATTTTGTAGAGCCGCACACTGGACAGTACATTTTCTTATTGTTTACATTTTTTCTATTTCTTTGTTTCAAATGAAAAGCAAAATGTGTTGTGTTGTCATCACTGTTTCAGATCTGGGTTTGAATGTGGTAATCTTTATGTAGGTAAGCATTTCTTAACTGGTAATTTTATTCAAATCAATTATATTTGCATTTGGGAAACGAGTCAACGAGTAATAAATATACAAGCCCCCAGAGAAATGGATACACTAAGCTTCATAACTTGATTTCTGTGACTCAGCGTAATATATAACACCAATTAAAATACATGTACACGGTTCCTACAGCAACAGCAAGTATTCATGAGTTAGCTTGTATGCCACAGAGAGGCAAATAGTACCACTTGAAAACTACATGTACGGTGCTCGTTAGTAACGATAGATATAACAAGATTTAAACAAAAAACAAAAATTAAAACTACTGATTCAAGTTACTTGTAATCTTTCATGTCTGTTAAATGCATGATATCAAACACACAACCATCATGTGGCTTAGCTTCTGATCACTGCCCAAAATAGGTTTCAGACATTTGATTTTTTCAAGACCTAAGCTTTAAGTTTTGGATGTTTCATTTAAGA